CAGCGTATGGCGATATCAGCTCAAGTGAGACCTCGATGGCTCCAGAAACGAGCCCCTGTTTGCAATTTGTCCCTGAACCACCAATTATCACCCTCCCAATCAGAATTCCTACCACCCGGGACGGGAAAAGACACCAATTCCGAGGTGATTGGGGGGGGGGATACGTCCTTTATAGCGGCTGTCGGGCGAGGAAGAACAGCGGGGTGTCTTAATCCACAATATTGGAGACTCACTGCTGCCGGAGCATCCCGCAGGCGGCCGAAGGGGTTTATCTCAGCACTCGACGGTAAGTAACTTAGAGAAGTACGTAGCTGTGGGACGATGCGGGGTGTTCGCTTTTCCAACCAAAGCGGTCAGAAACGACAGAGACTCCGTCGTCGCGAATATGGATGACGAGAGCACGAGCGGTGAAACAAGGGCTGTTGTTGTCGGCTGGGCGCCGCGATGGTTTGATGGATGCTCACCCTCAGGTTCCAATGATGAGAAACAAGAGGTTGCAGCGTCGTGGTAGCGAACGACAACACCACACTCGACCAACTTGGCAACTATACCAAAGTGAGGGGAGCGGATTTTCCAGCACTGGATCACCCTCATTTGCGAGACAGGGCCAAGAGCTCATCATCGAGCACCGGAAGATCCCCGGACGATGTTTTGAATACGGTGAGACAGAAGCAAGCGGTGAGCGAGGTGGCGCCCCATAGTCTGGGAGACAGCGGGTTGGGATCGCCCGCATCATTTCGGGCCTTCACTGCGGATTTGACGAGACTTAACCTCCCAACAGCCCTTCCAGATGTTGCCTTGACATACCGCACGAACGAGTGGGCAAGCACCTCAGCATTGCAGAGACCCCTGACCTAGAAGTGCTTCAACTTTCTGAGCCTGTCCCGGACACTCTAACAAACGAACAACCCGCGCATCTAGATATCGTTGAACTGCAACAAACGGCTGAAACTGGTGCCCCTCCCCCCGCTGCACCCGAGATATCTACAGCTGGATCAAACCACCCGCAGCACATCACCTTCAAGAGCATATCACTCTCCGACTCAGAGATGACCATGTCCAACCCGGCATCGGGCTCGCAGCCTGAACCCAAGCCTCATCATCACTCCGTCGTTCCTGCGCCGTTGAAACGCAGCAGCACAAGGTTCCCGATCGAGTCCGCCGTTGAGAGACATGGCGACTCTCGGCGTAACTCTGCGTTACAACAGGAAACGGCCCAAACACAGCCCGCGGGCACTTCTGGCCACCGCCGCTCAACATCAAGCTCGTCGATGCCTCCCCACGATCTTCCGCACAAGGTGTACCCCCAGACCAAGCATCTCAACTTGATGATCGGTATGCGCGAGAAGCTCCTCCGCTCCCGCGCCTCGGGCATCCTCACCCCCACCAGCGGCAACGCCTTCCACGCCCCTCCCGACCCCTCCACCGGCCACTGCATGCCCGCCAACACAAACGGCGCCCACAACCACCCCGTCCGCTCGCCCACCCCAAGCAGCCAACACCGCTCCTCCCCCAACACCCGCTCCTCCGGCCACGCCGACCTAGACGACCTCCCGCTTTCCCAACGCCGCTCCATCATCCGCCACCGCCAAAGCAAAGCCCCCACCAACCTCCGCCCAACCGCCCACTCCACCACCTTCGACTCCCACCAACCCCGCCGCGGCACCAGCGCCATGCCCACCGCCATCCGCCACGCGCAACTCGCCAGCTTCCGCAACAGCGTCGCCGTCGACCTACGGCCCAGCTCCCCGCCCAGCGCCTCCGACCTCCGCCGCATGTCCTCCTCCGCCACCCTCCACGGCGGCAGCAACAGCAACAGCCTGCACCACGCGGCGGCGCTGGGCGTCGCGGGGGTGAGGACGCCGACGCCGACGGTCGACAAGAGCAAGACGGATTCCTGCGCAGCATCTAGCTGCAGCGGGGGTATCTGCTGGTGGAGAAGGCGGCGCACGCGCAGAGGCGCGAGGCGGAGGCCATGGGCAGGATTCAGTATCAGAGGGATTTTGAGGAGCTGATGAGGAGTGGGGTGTTGATGGATGCGCATCGGGATGCGATGAGAACGTTGCAAGGGGGTGTGAACGGGTGATGGGGGG